TTTCAAATTACAGTATGATCTGTTTCCACAAGCAATATTTCACAGTCCTGTAAAATGAAAGGCAAATTTGCATTGCTTGATTACATTGTGTGTGCCAAGCAAAAATAATTCCCCACCTCCATTTTCTATCACATTAAAAAATGACTCTTTCCAGAGTAAAATCCTTCTTACTACACAATCCTATGGCTGTATATTTAGGGTGCTTCCATACAAGGCTTTTATGTCACCATTGTCCTGCCTCATTCACAGATTATGTTGTCTTCCACACACAGCCTTCCTGTTTCCCCACTACCTCTTCCAACTTCTTCCTTAACATAAGAAATCTGTTGAGGAAAAGACAGCACAGCTGCACAATGTCTTCTAATATATGGCACTAGGAGCTCTCCATCTGGAAGCACCCTTATATTTTGAGGAAATTCAGATGGGTGTGAGGACCACATGGCTATGGACAGTTCCCTTTTCCCCATCTCCTCCTCTCTTTTCCCATTTCAGTTCCCTATTGACATCTAGGTGTGATCTTGTTGTTTTTGTTGTGTAACTTTAAGTCATTTTCCATTTATGGCAACCCTATCTGCCACTGAACAAATAGTTGCATTTGGTAATGATGCATAGGTACTTTTTTCCCATATTATTTTTTAGGATCCTTCACCCTAATCTTTCATGTCTGCACCCTAGGCCAGATTAAGGTGGCTGGGGCCCTGGAACAGTTTGTTGGTTTGTTTAAATATTTATATCCTGTTCTATATCTGAAGATCTCAGGGCATCTTACAATAACATTTCCCCCCCCAAAAAAATTATTAGTTCCCTTTATGCACAAACATCTTAATGTCTAAATCCATTATCAGACCTGCAACTTCAGCGAGAAATGAAATCAACAGTCTAATCCTAGTTGCTGTGTTATTCAAGTAACACAAAAAATATTGATGACAATAAAAACATTGAGATATCCAGGAAATGACTGAGGAGGAAGAAAATACAAATAATACCTTTCCCCTGTAGCACAGAGCCCCTAGGCCAGGGGTAGGCAACCTTTCCCCTTTAAGGGCTGAGGGACTTCAGCTCCCAGAATCCCAGGAGCAATTGGCCAACATGGGACTATTGGCCAACATGGCTGAGGCTTCTGGGAGCTGAAGTCCCTCGGCCCTTAAAGGGGAAAGGCTGCCTATCCCTGCCCTAGGCAGTATGGAGTTTGGAGCAATGGTACCAATTGAACCATTGATAATCTGGCCCTGTTATCAGCACCTCCATTTCCTCACCTCATCCAAAGAATCCATACAGAAGCAAGGCCATATAAATGCATGGAGTTTGCAAAGCTTTCTGTGCTTAAAAACACAGAGTCTACATGGGCCAGGTACATTCATCATGGGTTTATTTCCCTTGGAGAAGGACACTGCTTTGTGAGAAATTTTTAACTGACAATGGCACAGATTGCTTGGATCTGGGACTTTCTGGACTTGTTCTCCTACTCATCTATGCATCTTCCCCCACATCAGAATAGCAAAACCTTCCAAATTACAAAAATACAAATATAAGAGAACATTTAAGATGAGTTGAGATGATGTGTAAACAAGTAAAAATAGCATGCGCTCCAAACTTATGTGGAGAACTAATCTCAAGTTAATTAGTTTTGTCATTTAAACTTCAACATAATTTGGTGGGCTTTTTTTGTTTCTGGCAGCAGTTGGAAAAATTACTTTTTGGACTACAGTGCCTAGTAGCCCCTAGTCAGCATCACCAGTCATCATGCTGATTGAGGAGTTCTAGGAGTTCCAATCCAAAAAGTAACTTTCTCAAGTTCTGTTTTAAAGGAAAAGCAAGGGGGAAGAGCCAAGTTGCTTTTGAGGCAGTGAGACGCACGTGCTTCAAAGGGAGTACAATGAGACAGGGATGAGCTCCTTGTCTGAGGATCAGACCGCAAGGGAGTCAATCAGTCTGACAGTGCTGCTGAGTTTTACACTGTTGTGACTTGAGTATCTCACAAGGGCAAAAGACAGTCACTTATCAGTGAACCACTTTGTTGAGCATGGGAGGAGGCAGCAAATTGCTCACAAGCATCAGGGAGAGCACCATGATCAAGGCAAGGGGGAATGGAAACTGGCTTCCCTTAACCCCTCCCGTCTTTTCCTGATACTGTTTGTTCTCATAAATACATAAATACATTTAGTTCCTAGGCTGAAAATGGGAAATGGTCAAAAGAAGCCTAAAGAATAAAGGTTCTTTCCTCTACTCAGAACACCTTTGGTGTCTTTGCAGTAGTAAAGCCAACACCCTGGCATATGGGAAACTTTTGCCAACGATGGACTCTACACCGCAAGTAGTTAGAGCAGAGCTCAGAGTATGGCACTAGTCCAGTCAGTAACTGGGCAGCCTCACCCATGCACATTCAGATTTAAGTGATAACATGGACCACAATATTTCCTGCTTCTTGGGACTCGTGAGCATAGATAAACCCCCAAATAACTTGGAATTAACCAGATTTCACAAAACTCCAGATGGGGACAAAGGTGTCAGAACATTGTGATATCTGCTGCTATAGTTCTCTGAGTTTAAAAAAAAAATACCCAGATGCCATTTCTGGAACTACAGACTATTTTCTGCCAATTTCCAGCACCAGCTGCAAAATTTCATACACACCTTCAAGTGGGTTTCTTTCTAACTCCAAGGCATACTGAAACAATAGGTTCCCTTTCTTTGGACGTTATCACACTGGCCCTAAAGCAGCGTCATTTCAGC